CCTTCTTCATGACTCCCTTTGCCCGCTGCTTCGAGTCCTTACCCTTGTGAAGACTGGAAAAGAGGGTGGAGTACAGCTTCGCGCGGAGTCCGATCTGCTCCACGATCCTGACGGGAAGGTATTCCATGCCAAAGCCTCCAAGCTCACCAGCACGTTCCCAAGCAATCGCCCGCTGCTGCGCGGTCAGGTGTTCCAAGGCCCAAGAATGCTCAGGCTTTCCGACAAGATCCTTGGCCAAATCGAAAAAGCAGGGGAAGTCGCCCGCTTCATTGGCAGCGGCAAAGCTGTGCATGGGATCGCGCTCAGTTTCGATGAAGTAGGTGATGGAGTCTGTATCCGTCGACAAAGGAATGGCCTGGGGGTATAGGCGCTTGATCGCTTGATAATGGATTTGCATGAGCTTCAACCTGGAGAGTTCCAACACCCTGAACCCGATCTGTACCATGCTAGTCTGGAGCACGGGTTTTGTCGGTAGGTTGTGAATGACGCCGATGAACTCATTCTCATCATGTCTGCTGAAGATGTCCAGGTCCACCATCCTACAGCCGTTGGCCGCTCTGATGAACGTATTGACGTCGGAAAAGATTCTGGACGTGTGCTTGTGTTCGCAACGCTGAATCAGTTTCCCATACATCGCATTCATTACCAGTTTTAGGAGCTCTGCTTCGTGGCCGAAGCCTTGCTCTTTCAGCATCAGCCTCGTCCGGTAACACTTCTGCAGCCAGGGTTTCAAAAATGTTTCGCAACGGAAGACCATGGCAGCGTGCAGCCTCTCCACCTTTGCTCCCATCTCGCGGCACATGTATGAGAGTCTCTTCCCGTCCACAATCTCCTTCTTGTGAGCTCCCAGGAACGGAACCAGCTTTTCAGCCTGCGAACATTGCAAGTTGTTTCTTTGCAGGATCTCCTGGGTGTAGGGCGAAAGCTGGTCCCTGCCAACTCTCATTCGACAGGGCGGCGCCCAATCCAGCTGATCGTGGAGGTGCAAGGGAAAGGTATAGTCTACCACAAAGGCGAAGCTCTGGGTTTCCTCGTGCTCGTTGTAGTCGATGCCGTCCAAGGTCTCGCTCAGCCACTTCATGCGCTCACTATGGTTCGTAGGAAGAGTCAAAAGCCTTCCGCTGTTGACTGGCATTCCCTCGCACATCACTGAGGGATACATGGACGAAACATCCATCGAGGTGATGTAGCTTGTAGGTTGCGAAGGGTCGAAGTGAGCACCAAGCTCTGGCGAATTGGCTCGCCTCCGAGGGTTGAAGATGCACGCCAATCCTCCCATCATGCCGTCCCTCAAGTAGTCGTAGACCTGGTGATCGTTGACCAACTCAACATGACGGAATCGAAGGCATCCACGAACCATGGCATCAAATGCTGCTCCTGGTAAACTTATCTTTTGAAGAGGATCTTGCCCGAATCTGGCGTGGAAGCTGCTTCGAAAATGTTCCATCACGTCACTGAGGGACAAATCCATAAAAAGATAACAGTTATGGACTTGACGAAAGTTTGTGAAGCCAAGAATATCGCACGTATCCTGCAGCTCTTTGACCTTCTTTGCGAGCTTGCCGGGCGATTCCGGATTCAAGCTTGAGTGGTAGTCTTCAACCTCCCAAACAGCAGGCTTCGTCCAGACGTCGGGTCCCTGCATCTTCTCAAACGGCATCGGCAACTTCCGAAGCAACAAGTTCCACGTCCACTGCTTGAACTCTTCCTCCGTGATGCTCTCGATGTCACGGTCAGGAGCAAAATGCCTGTGCAGGTTTTCGCGCCTCTGGGTTGTCAAGGCTGCTGGCTGAAGCTCGGGGTGAAGCTGGGCCATCTGCACAAAAACCTTCGAGGGATCGTCGGGGGAGACTTTGCGAAGCTCGTCCATGAGGTTGCTCAAAGAGGTCTTATAGAAATTCATGCTGTCCACAAACTGGAGGCATCCCAGGCGGAAAGAAAGAAGCTTCTCACCGCTCTTGTACAAGACGCTGAAAGGCAACTGGTACCACTTCTTACCCAGCATAGCAGCCTCCACGTCATCCCCGAGCTCGTCACCTTCGTCTGACTCTTCCTCCTCGTCGGGCTGTTGCATGACCTCTTCCTCCTCGTCGAACTGATTATCTGGAAAGGTGTTCATCTTGAAGGAAGGCTCCTCATCGTTCACATCCATGCTCACAGTACCAAAGGATGCTCGAGCAGCCGCATCTTCTTCCCAGCTTCGTCGGCGCATTGAGGAAATTGCCCTGATGAGGAATTTCCAATCAAAGTTTCCTCCATTGTGCATCAGTACCCTCACCAATCTTGGTTGAACGATCAAGCTGTTGCATCGCTTGCATATTGCATTGATAAACTCTCCAGTACCATGCCTATGATGGCATACTTTCATGCTGTAAGGGTTGTCCTGCACGAAGCGCACACCACAATTGCTGCAGCGAGCCGCCTCATCAAACAGCTGCTGTTCTGCAGGAGTCAAGCGTGCGGGAATGTTGACTCGACGTTTCCAGATAAGGTAGCGCTCGCTCTCCCTCCGAAGCTCTGTAAGAAGCCTTTCCACAGCAGCAAACTTGCCCTCCCCAGCTTCCCGAACCGTGAGGTAGGAGCGCGTGTGGGGCTCGTATCCGTTTCGTCCTACAGCAAGAAGGGCACCTGAGAGCACATGCCGCTGGATCGACTGGGTGTGTTCTGCCACCTGCTCAGAAGGTGGCCCCTGACACTCGATCTCCAAGTCCATGTAGACCGTCAAGGGAGCAAACTCCTCTGCAGGTCCGGGCTTATACTTGATGATATCCTCGCGACTCCTCCTATTCTCAGCTTCTGGATCGTACGGCCTGGGCATTCTGACGGTGCTCATCCGCTTGGAGGGATCGATATTGCAAGGTCGCTCCTGATGCCGGGCCAAGGTCCTAGCATTGCTGAAGTTGACGCGGCAGCGATGGCACACACGCATGGTGTTGTGTGCATTTTGCCTGCTTCCATCCATTTCGGCACCTCTTCCGCTGTTGAAACTGGTGAAGTTCCAGATCAGGCAGTAGTGGTTTTCGTGCCTCAACAGATTGATTTCCTTCCGAGCTGGGAAGTCTTGGAAACGCGGTTGCCTGACAAGGTGCTTCTCGTAGTACGTTCGTCCCTCCCACTCAACGCTTCTCCAGACCCAAATGAAGAACCGAAGCTGGTAGCCGTTGGCCTCCTCAAAGTTCTGGATGTCAAGCTCTGTCACGCCTCTGCTCGGGGGTGGTAGAGTGCTGAAGTCGTAGCCGAAGTTGCAGGGAACCAGGCGCTGGTTTTTCTTGGCCTTGCCCTGCAGCGGAGCATAGCCCTCCATGAAAAGCTTCTTGTCCGTGAGCCTTGCCAAGTTTTTCCTCTCGCTAGCACTCATCGAGCCAACCTCCATCAGAGCAGCCCTTACGCACCACGCGAAACAACTGTGATCTTGTGTCTGGGGATTCCAGAAGCACTTCTTACGTGCAAGCAGCGGTGGCAACGTGTGGTGAGTACCAACCGCCTCGTCACCAACAGCAGGACCAGGAGGAAGCCTCGCCATCTCGGTGCCAGGCGATGTCAGCACGTACATTCGGAGTATACCACCGATGTTCTCCCTGGAACCATTGAGGCGAGCCCTTTCCAGGTGTTCTGCAAGCTTGTCCCTCGCAGCCTCGATGATGGAATTCAGGCGGCGATCTACGTCGGCATCAGGTGCTACAACCCAAGGCGCAGGTTTCAACAGGTAGGGCTCATTCACAATCTCAGGGGCCACGGTACCATCGCCGAAGGGATCTGGAGCTTGAACGAATCTCTCCATCTGGAACTTCACTTTGATCGTGAAATAGAGCTGCAAGCCAAGGAGATCTTGAATCTCACCTCTGGCCTGCCTCAGCTCCTCCGGCTGCACGGTGCCGTTGGCCCTCTCAATCACAAACTGCCTCATCCAGAAGCTGCCATCATCTCTTCGAAGTGGTACTGCACGCACCGTCAAAGGTCCCACAGCTGCTGCAGCAGGGTCAGCCATGATCACGGGGCAAAGTACGAAATCTATCAAACACAGATAATCCCTGAATACACTCTTTTTCTTAATGTTGTCCCGGTGAAAGCTTTCATCTGTCATGGATGTCACCGCATCAATTTCTCCACCATTGCCGCTGAAACTCCAACGCGGACGGTGAGCATGTCTCAATCACTTGCACGCGCTACACAGCTTCACTTGCACTCATTCTTCCCAAAAACCTTCACAGCACGAGTGTCACACAGAGGCTCTGGCGAAAGGTGCCGCGCTCTCTTCCATCCACTGCTGACCTAGGTGCACAAGTTGTGCCAAGGAACCAGTTCCAAACAACATCAGAGCTGAGCTTTACAAGTTTCACTCGCAGTCACTACCTGCGTAGCACTAGCTTGTTTGGCGCGGGTTTCCAACATTTTTTAGTGCGTTTCATTGATTTTGATCAATGTGTCGCTTTCAAACAGATCCTAAACCCTATTGAACCCTTTTGAAAAATTCGATTTTCAATCCTGATGCTTTTTGTTGTGTTTGCTCGTTTTCGTGTGGGATTGCCCAGCATTTCTTAGCTTGTTTCATTGATTTTGATCAATGTGTCGCTTTCAAACAGATCCTAAACCCTATTGAACCCTTTTTCAAAATTCGATTTTCAATCCTGATGCTTTTGTTGTGTTTGCTTGCTTTCGTGTGGGATTTTCCAACCATTTTAGCACGTTTCGTTGATTTTGATCAATGTATCGCTTTCAAACAGATCCTAAACCCTATTGAACCCTTTTTCAAAATTCGATTTTCAATCCTGATGCTTTTTGTTGTGTTTGCTCGTTTTCGTGTGGGATTTCCCAGCATTTTTTAGCTTGTTTCGTTGAAGTTGATCACTTTGCTACTTTCAAAAAGATCCCCGAACACGCTTGGCAAGCGACAGCTCATGAAGTTTGTCGGCACTCCCTACTTTGCCCGAGTCAAGGATCGAACTGACAAGGCAAGAGAAGCTCGATCACCAAACAGAAAACCAAGACTCACACTCGATCTAGATCTCGCTTCGAGTTTGAGTTCCATCGGCCGTGATGTGCTGAATGACCTGATTGGTCTTCTTCTCATACCCTCTGATCACGCGCCCTTCTGCTTCAGCTTCCCGACGGCGCTTGAGCTTCTTCGCCTCGAGCTTGTTCAAGTAGTGACGGGGCTTTGCAGCTGATGTGTCGGTCTTGCCGTTGCTTGCCAGCTGTGCAGCTTTCCCGTCGGTCTTGCCGTTGCTTGCCAGCTCTGCAGCTTTCCCGTCGTCTTTGCTGTTCAGCTCTGCAGTCTCGACCAAGGGCTCATTCACTTGCTCCGAGACTTTGCCAACTTCAGAAGACGCAGAGGACGAAGAGACATCCGACATGATGGTCAAGCTGAAGCTACGCAGCACAAAATGTGCTTTCCCAATCTCGAAGCCCGAAATCTCAATGCAGAACGTATTCACTCTTAAAAGCAGCAGAAACGGTGCGCTCCAAGCACAAGTTGATCGATTTTCGACCCCATTTCGACCCCATTTTGACCCCATTTTGGACCCATTTCGGACCCATTTCGACCCCATTTCGACCCCATTTCGACCCCATTTCGACCCCATTTCGACCCCCATTTCGACCCCATTTCGACCAACACAAACAGAACCTACGTCATCAGAGCTCCCCGCGAGGTAGCGCCATCGTGATATGCACCTGGGCGAACAAGCTTTCGCATTAGGGTTGAGCTCCTTACGCAAACAAACCCTACACGGCTGTGCAGCAAAAACATGAACAAGCAATCGCACCCAGCTTTTGTCTGCCACCGATCCTCACATGCATAGGCATAGGCGAGGTCAGAAGGGCCACCGGCGTCGGTTCAAAATTGCGGCCGCGGCTTCTGCGTGGCGCTCCGACGCAAACTTGTACTTCTCGTGTGTTGTATGCCAAATGACCGGGTGGCAGCCCTCCTGCCTCATCCACTGAGCTACCTTCTTCGGCACCGCGGCAGTTCCGGCACTCAGCATGCCGACGCCATGACCGTCCCCGCGTTTGCGGTTGGCCAACAAGGCTTGCAGAATGCTGGGGCCTACGAGGAACGTGGTGTCCACATTCTGGACCTTGCAGTGCTGGAAGAACTGAAGCGCTTCCTGGTGGGCCTTGGCCTCCTTCTGGCGCCTCATCGTCTCCAAGCTGTTGGGGCCGGCGTAGTCTCGGCAGGCAACGGCTAGGTCCAACGCGTTGAGGCCACCTGAACTATAAGCAAGCGCAACTATCCCCCTACACGAGCGGAGAGCGCAACCAAGGGACAAGCGGCCGTGAACTGCTTCCAGTCCTCCGCATGCCCCTTCAGCTCCAGCATCTGCTGAGCCTCCTCCTCGGTGAGATCCTCGACCCAGAAGTTCACCTGCCCATGGCACTTCATCGAACTGCGAGGGAGGCTGAGATCTTCTGCAAACAACGCGGGCCTGTCGCGGGGCACCTCCAGCATCGAAGGTCATAGCCGTGCCTGCGGCGGAGGCACAGACGATAACCTCGGCTCAAACGATCAAGCCTGTGTGTGAGCCAACAGTGCAACACAGCGCTGGGTCCCCGCGTGCACCGCGCTGCCCATCTGGTCCGTGGACATCTCCTTCGCGAAGTTCGACACGAGACTCATGCCTCAGGGTAGGAAAGCAGACGTAGAACACCGAAAGCCGAGCGCCGCGCTTTGGGTCGTCTCTCGCGGAATGTCCAACACCAGGATCGGCACCTTGGAGAGGGCCTCGGGATCCTTCTTGAGCTCCGCCGCTACCCGATTGAAGAGCTCTTTGAGCATTCCCTGCCCGTCCAGGTGCAGTTCCTCGTAAAGGGTGGACTTCCACTCTGCGTTCTCCACGGTGTGGACATAGACGCCCCGAAGGCCGCGGAGGGCCTCTTGCACGGCCACCGACTTGCCGCAGCCGTAGCGGCCGGTGACCACGGTGGCATGTTCCTCCCAGGAGCTGATCCTGCTCCTGATGTCTGCGATGACCTGGCACCAGGCGTCAAAGTCTGCAGGCACCAACAACTTCGTGGCAAGGAGGCTACGCAGAACCCGCTAAAACACCCGAAGCAGCGCTGCCTTGCGCTGCACGACCTGCTCCTTAAGTATCTTGGTGGGGATGTGCGGGCGCATCAGGGTTCGCACTGCCTCCTGCAGTCGCCTTTCAGGTGACTCCCGGATGGCCTGCTGCAGCGGGACAGCTGCGATGATGATCATAGCAATGGTTGCAACACTCCGAGTCGCACATGGCCTGCTGAAGCTGGAGAAATGTGATGATGAGCACAGCAATACCCGCCATCGCCCCGAGAAACTTCCAGGCAACATCCGTCCTAGGCTTCCAATCGGCGCCCACGCTGCGGCACCGTTGTCAACTGAGTGCGGGGCCGGTCGGAGCCGGCCTGAGGCATCAAGCATGAGTGCAGACCAGAAGCAGGATTCCGCTCTCAGACAGCGCGCCTTCTCATTGGCGGGCCGCTCGGCCAACTCGTCCTGGGTCGGCGGCATCAAGCATGCCCGAGCTGCCGCGCCCGGCCCCACAACGTGTGCCTTTGCCTTCTTGGACTGCTCGTCCCGGGCCAGGGCCTGAAAGGCAGCATCAAGGTCACCACTGTGTGCAACAAGCACCATCAATCCAAGCACTGCGAGCCTGCGCCGAAGGCGGTTCCTGCCAGGGCATGGCTCTCCGAAAGACTCTACAAGTTCCCACGCTGGTCAGCCAACCTGATACTGTCCACCGAAGCCGCGCCAACGCGCCAGAGCTGGGGCGACGAGCACATGCTGCAGGACAGCTCGGCGCCCGAATCGATGGCCGAGCGCACTGAAGCGCATCATTGCTACCAACATGAAATTCTGAGCAAAAAAATTGAATCGTGCTCTTCAACAGACTTGCGGCTCCGACCAAGACTGGCAAACGCAGGAGCAACACACCAGAACTGCAGCCCAGCCCGTTGCGGGAGACGATTGCTGGACCTTCCTGCGAGGAGTCCTGCGCCCAGGGCATATCAACGCAAATTGCTTCACAAATGCAGCAGCAACCTGCGTGACCATTTGCCTAGCAAAAATGGCTGACGATACAACAGGAGAGAAAACTCAAGCAAAAGCCTCTAAAGCAAGAATCTGATCACGCAAGAACGCAAAGCAGAGGGCATTCCGACCTGGAAACCGCCAGCTGCAGAGCCGCTTTCGCAGCGAGCACCTGGTCAGAGCACAGGGTCCTCGTGCGTCCTGCAGCAGCCCAGGTGTCAACGAAAAAATTGAAAAATGATTGGCCACATCCTCTACATCTCGCGTCAAGTGGCAACTACCAATCTCTACCGCTGTTCTGCACGCTTGCCCCTATATCAACACTGCGGTCCACAGCTCTGGCGCCTCACTGGTTCGCTCTAAACAAAGCCCACCCCGCTAGAAAGCAAGCTGACAAACAAAACCACGCGGAAAATAGCAAACCGATCAAAAGAAAACACATAGGAAATTGCATGCGAATTTCCAAGAAAAAACACCAGCAGTCTAAAAAGCATGGAAATTGTGGACCAATTGTGGACAAATTTCGGGTCAATTTCGGGCCAATTGTGAACCAATTTCGGGCCAATTTCGGACCGATAGCCCCTTAGATGCCCACCATACGCCGTGTTAATCACCCCAGGACACATCGTGTCACCCACACGCGTTTTCGCAGCGTTTTTGGACGGATTTTTTTTGCGCACGAGAGGCGCCTTTGGGAGAAAACAATTGCCGACCCTGGCCGACCCGGCGGTCCTAGCGCAACCACAGGCAGGGATGGCGAAAGTCTGGAAAGCCTACTGCGAGCACCTTGCGGGTGAAACCGCAAGCATGATTGTGGCGGGGGACGAGTTTTCCTTGAGCCAAGAAGCTGCCATGAGTCGATGAGAGGCGATGTGCTGCCTCTACGCCCGCTACCGGGCTCTGTGGGTAAAACAAGGCATGGGCAAGATCAAGGTCTTCCCGACTCCCGACTACAGGAGCAAGCAGCCAAGCGACCCAGTGGTACCCAAACTCCCCGCTACTGGAATATTGCTCGGACCGAGCAAGTCGGGCAAGACGGTGGCCCTGATCTCCATGATTCTGGAGCAGTACCGGGGCTGCTTTGAGCGCATCTACGTGTTTAGCCCGAGCATCAACGTGGACGACGGCTGGAGGCCCGTCAAGAAGTACGTAGAACATGACATGAAGGTGAACACGGACCGAGAACAGGTCTACTTCGAGAACTGGGACGAGGCCGCCCTGCGAAGGATCATCGACCAGCAGCGCAAGATCCCAGACCTCCAAGGAACTGAAAATGAAGCGCCTCTACCAGATTCTGATCATCATTGATGATTTTGCCGATAGCCCCCACCTGCACAAAAGGACCGGCGACGCTGCCCTGGACACGCTGTTTATCAGAGGCCGTCACTTTCAGATATCTACTTGGGTGAGCACCCAGAAGCTGCGTTTGATAAGCAACGCGGTGCGGGTCAACGCCCAGTTCTTCATGGTCTGGCGTTTAAGAAACCAGCTGGAAAAGGACAGCCTGCTGGAAGAGCTCACGGCCCTCGTTCCTAAGCAGCAGCTCCACGCCATGTACGAAGAGGCCGTCCGGGAGCCCTACAGCTTCCTGTACATCTACCTGCTAAACCCTAGGGACGAAATGTTCCACATACGCTTCGAACGTCGTTTCCAGGTAGGGGCCCCGCCCGCTGAAGCAAACGAACAAACGGACGCCGGTTATGGGAGCCTTCCTCTCGACGATAGCGAGCAAGCTGCTGGGAAGCAGCACGCTCTGTCAAAGTGAATGCAGGAACGTGAATTGTTGCACCTCCGCTGCAGCAGCAAGGGTCTACGATCCCTCCAGGCCACCTTGGATGCAGAAACCGACCGAATGGTGGCAGCAAGTCTCGAGCGATTCCGAGGCTTTGCCAAGACCATTCGGCCACCCAGCAAGAAAGAGGAAAAGACACATGACGACCATTTACGTGGATTTCCGGAAAAGGGTCGCCGGCACCGACGCCGACTTCGAGTTTGACGTAGGGGAAACGGTTCACCTGCAGAACTCGGCCCGCTTGGGAGTCTTCAAGATCAGGGTGGCCGACACGTTCTTGAGCACCGACAGACACCTATCTCTATTGGAGGGACGCCGCCCTCAACACCTTGAAGTGGGCGCAGCTGCCCGTGGGAGCCTACACCGGGGTCCGCCTTGCTGCGTGGATCAGCAGCAACTTCGGCATGGCCGTCCACGGGGAATCCACCAACGAGATCGCGGTGGCCTGAGATGGCAACAGGACCATCCTCAACGACTAAGAGCTGCAGACCCTCTTCCCCAGTTCCGCAAGCTACCCCGCGGGCGACGCCCGACCCTTGAGCATCAACCACCTTTTAGGCCCCAGCTTCATAGAGGGCAGCAACCAGATTTTCAGATCGTCATGAACCCCTACAACGAGCTGTACCTTCGCTGCTCCAGCCTCGCCAACGCCGCAGACACCGTCCCTAGGCCACGACATCATTGCCAAGATCATTTGCAGCCAAGGCGTCGGCTACATCATGCAGTCCAGCACGGACGACAACCACTTGGTCAACATCCAGGACCCCATCACCTTGCGGTACCTCCGCTTCAAACTGACCGATTTGAACGGCAATGTGGTGAATCTGCGGGGCACTAGCATCAGCTTCTGCGTGTACTTGGACGGTTGAACGGGTGACCCGATCCAGGAAAATAATGCTCATGACAGAGGAAAAACATAATATTAAATGTCTCAGCCAGGCGACTTGCAGGGACTTGCTACCGAAGAAACCAACGCACCTGCAAAACCTGTGGAAGCGGTTCCTGAGCCTGCTCCCTCGACCGAAGCCCAGGCAACCAAGTCGGATGAGCAGGCCCCTGCTGCGGACGAAACGAAGCCAAAGCGCGGGCGGGGTAGGCCCCCGGGCAGCAAGAACAAACCCAAGGCAGAGCCAGCTCCACAAGCTCCTCCCACCGTCCCTGTTGCTGTTCCCGCCCCCGTAGCACCACCAGAGCCAGAGCCAGAGCCAGAGCCGCAGCCCACGCCCGCTCAGATGAGGGTCACAAGTCAGCTGCTCCGAACGAACCGCTTCGAGGAAATGCTCCTGCGAAACACGATGGAATTCTGACAGAGATGCTGACGCGAAACACGATGGAGTTCTGATTATAACAAAACAAAGGCAAGACAACATGATGACCATAGAGCCTCGCAACGAGGCCACGATGCTGCGGCAGTTCTGGAAAAAGTACCCCTCTTACAACTTGAACTCGCTGATGCGAAAGCGCTATGAGGAACTCATGGACGCCAAGGCCTTCAACGAGTGGCTGTCGAACCGACAGCTCAAGCAGGAAGGTGAGGCCTACGCAGATGCCATGGGCAGACTCACCGAGGCCGTCAACCACAGAGTTCTCCAGCTCAGGTGGGCAGGGGCCGAACGGCGATAAACCCTCAGGGCGGGGGACCAACTCGTCAGAAACACCATGGAGTCCAGCGTTGTGCCAGGCTTCGTTCCGCAAGGAGCCCGCCAAACGAGGGATCCTCCCAGAGCTGGTCGACAAAATGTTGAAGCATCGGGCGTGGTGGACGCGTACAAAGCAAAAAGCCAATGGAGGAACAACGCGTGATGGGATTTCGCAGGCGCCCCGACTTCGGGGAAGTTCTGGCGTTCATCAACGAGGGGGAACCGCTTAACTTTCCCTTGCCCAACCGCAAGGCCGCGATCTACACATCCAGCCACTTCTACCTGACGAGTTCCCTCAGTCCACCGAGCTGATCGATAACCCTCCGACCGCACACAGACCTTGGAATAGCGGTGGAGCAGGACTTCTACAGCGCTGACGAGGGATACCAAGGCAGACCCTTCCCCCCAAGTCCGAAGACCCAACTTTCTAGGCCCCGGTTCGGACACTGAAACCGAGGACGAAGCCTTCCGACGGAGCCCCCCGCCCGCCTCCCGCAGCAGGACAAGCCTCAAGCAGCGTTTCAGGTCGATTGGGCAACGCGGGTCTGCAGGCGGCAGAAACGGTCATCGCAGCGCTGCTGGTGTAGGAGCTGCCGTAGACTCTTGGCATACACCCCGCAAGCTTTCAAGCACGTTTCTGATGAACTGGTCTCTCGACTGGACCGTCTTGGACCCGTTGTCAATTGCCTTGTCAATCCACTACCAGCATTTGGCCCACAGGCAAGAACGGACCGGAACCGGTACCACGTCCGTCTCACCTCCTTGCATGGTTTAATTAGTCTAACATGTTGACTGAGCTCTGCTAGGCGCACTTGTTAAGAAAGTTTTTAACTTTCTTGTGAGTGCCCTTACAGTTAACATGATGTCTTGCACACGCGGGATGAACCATGAGTTTGCTTTGCATGAGTGTGAAACTACGTTTGGAACCTTTTGTTTGCTTTGGCAAGAACAGACATTTGCATGATGAGCAGAGAAGCACTGGAGATGCTTTAGGGCATCCTTGAAGAAGTGCGTGTTGCTCTGAGTTTGCTCTTCAGACCTTGACCGCCGACCCTGGCTTCGCTCGTGTCGTACTAAGGTTCGAGCAGAGTGGCTGTGCACTGGAGTGTTTTTGTTTGTTTTGCTGAAGCACTGAAGTCCTGAGAAGCACTAGGACGTTTGCATGTCTTCTTGCTTTGTTTAACAAAGTTGAGATGGAATTCACGAAAGTGAAGCTGCGCTGACTCTGCGAGAGACTTGCCGAACACCTTGTGTGTTTTGGCTCAAGCGTGGAGTGAAAAAGAGCTCTGCGTTTTTCACATGCATTGACACATGACCAGGACCCCCTCAAACAAAGAAGTTAGCCCTGCGGTCGTTCATGAATGCCCTTAGCTTTTCTTATCACCGATCACAGCCCAAATCAAGCCGGTGTCAAACTTGGTGTGGATCATCGCACTGTTCGGGAGCTGTTTCGCAACTTTCGCAAGTGGCTTTCACCCATCATCGACAGGATGAACGAAGAGCTCATTCTTAGAGGAGCTGGCATGGACGTCGAGTGGGATGAGATCAGCTTCAGAGGCAAGGCTCTGGATGACAAGGTTTCTTGGCTTCATATTTCTCTTTGTGAATGAATTGTCGAGTCAACCAGTTTCGAGGTTTCATTCATCAGATTCGCAGTGAGGTTTTGTGGCTCCGGTACATTGCCATCATTCCCAGAGGAGGTGTTGAGGTTTTCATCCACAAGCTTCCAGACAAATTGACTGCGTCTGGACAAGGTGGAGGGGGCCCTTTTGACAATCCAGGAGCTGAAGGAGACGATCGTGAACTCCGCGGGAGCCAGCCGGATTGCCATTGGCAGTGTCTGTCACACAGACAGCACAAAGGCAGACCAGAAGCTGGATTCCGAAGAGCCGTTGCCTTGCTTGTACAATGGAGCTTTGGGTGGCCCTTCTTTTGCTCACTTGAAGCTGGCGCAAGCGCCCTGTCAACACCACTGGGCAACCTCCTGAGACGGCTGAGCATTGGTTTTCGTTTACAGATGCTTTTTAAGTCTTTGTGGAAATGCGCAAGCTTGACCGTGCTTCTGTTGGCTCGGTAACGTGGGCAAGCTTGAACAAGTTTGGAAAGGGAAAGGCAAAGCCTTTCACTGCTTCTACTGGTGCGCTTGCTGAAGCGAAATCTGTAGAGGGGTTTCCTTCTGTTCTGGTGCCAGTGAAGCTTTCGCCAGTGTTTTCGGAAGGCGAGGATGTTCAGAGCGAACTCTTCGATCCCGAAGAAGAGGAGCCTATGTTTGACAACAAAGGGATCAGAGTGTTGAACTAGCAGACAGCAGAAGCTGTTCGAAGTTTGCAGGAGTTTTGCGCGTGCAAAAAGAGCCTCGCGTCTTTGGAGTCGATTCCTGCGACTGGTTAGGCTGTGGGTGAGTCTTTGGCCAGGTCAGGTAGGTTCAGAGCAAGGCTTCGATTTTGAAGTGGGTGTTTGGTCTTGTGTTTCCGTAGATGCAGTTTCGGGTGGCTCTGCCAGCTGCCAGCTTGGTTCAGCTTGATGCGCGGGTTTGCTAGGCCACGGGACAGCTTCGCTGAGGATGTAACACATCGAGCGGCGTGGCCTGCAATTGCTGCGAGGCCCTCTTAAAGAAGTCGCGGCGCTTGGAGCGGCGTGTTGGTGGCAGCATTTCCACTTGTGGAAGAACCAGGTTTGCCAGGCAGACTGTGGGTGCCGGTTTGCTAGGCTACGTGCAGCTCCTTTGAAGACGTGACACCTCGAGCGGCGGACCGCTAGTTGCTGCGAGGCCCCTTAAAAGAGGTCGCGGCGCCTCGAGCGGCGTGGCTGACGCTGCGCGCGGCAATTTAAGCCACCTTTGCAAAGGCGCGGCAGTGTTCTATTGTGCACCCAGGGTGCGCCGAACCTACACCAGCACGCCTGATTACAGGCGAGGATTCTCCAGGATACAGACTTAGCGCGTCATCGGGCTGTTACCAGTTTGTGCACATGTGCCCGCCAAAGCGCCAAGCGACTAGCAGCCACAACAATGCAGCAACAGTCAGACCCACGGGCACCCGAGCAGTCGAAGCTAGCAGGTGCTTGAACCCATCACCAGATCAAACTCACAGGTCTTTCTTGTCTGGCAGTGTCTGGTTTGCCATGGTTCTAGCGCATCATGAAACCTGCCGAAAGTTGTGGTGCCGGAAGCTATCGCACCTTAATGAATTTCCATCCCTTGCCGACCCTAAGGGTTTGATGTGAGTTATGGTTTTTGGGTCACTTGAGAAAATTATTGAGTCTACAAGTTGAGGCTGGGCAGTCCAGATGCGGGGTTCAGAAGTTCAGGCAAGATGATTTGGCACCGTTGGCCCAACAGAGTTCCCAAAGCATGGTTTTACTCTGATCTTGCATGAGCCCGCTTCTTCGAGTAAGGTTTAGGGTTTAGGTTTTAAGGTTTAGGGTTCAGGGTTTGGGGTTTAGGGTTTACGTTTAGGGTTTCACTTGATGTGGCTAGTTCTGGCTAGCTATCTCATTGTACAGGCTGCATGTGTCTTGGAATCAAATCATCTGCAAAAGCAGCTGCTCCGTGCATTCGTTGGTGCGTGTCCTATTGTGGTTTTGGGATGAGCAAGCTGCGTGAATGCCTTTAGCCCGCTTTGAAAGATGCATCTGCATGTTCTTCTCGATGCTGGGTCTCTACGGATGTCCTGAAAGAGCGGGTGCTTGAGTCAGTCCTGTGTGGTTGTTGGAAGAGCCAGCTGCGCAAATGCATTTAGCGGGGAAGATTCAATGACATGTGGGCATCTCCCAACATAGGGGCACCCAATACCCCCAAAGTACTAGGATCTTGTACCCCGAAAAGGGTAACCCCTCCCCCCAACCCCATTCTCGGAAACTCCCATGTGAAGTAGGGTTTATCTTACTGTTATTGGTGAGTGTGTTTTTTTTTACTATTGGTGAGTGTACATACTTGGTGTGCTTTTCGGGGTACAAGAAATATAAACCCTACTTCATGTATGATGCCTTGCGTGTGGTGGGCTCGAAGCTGCACAGTGGCAGACGCTTGCCATTTGCATGTGCTTCCTGGGCTGCCAGGCTTTTTGCTGCGGATGGAAGAGCATGCACGTAGCAGTTTTGGGGCGCTTCTTGCGTGACCTTAATACCGCATACGTAAGGCTAAACCCTAAAACCCTAAACCCCTAAACCCTTAAACCCCTAAACCCCTACACCTTACACCCTACACCCTACACCCTACACCCTACACCCTACACCCTAAACCCTAAACCCTAAACCCTAAACCCTAAACCCTAAACCCTAAACCCTAAACCCTAAACCCTAAACCCTAAACCCTAAACCCTAAACCTACTTATGGCTTAAGTTCCCTTGCCGTCAGCATAATTTCCGTTTCATTGCCAGGCGGCCTGGGCATGGCTCCAGCCTTCTTGCAAAGATTCACGGGTGGAAGCAACCAGACCCCACTGCAGGCCAAGCTGGTGGTGTCGTCTGGTGTGTTCGGGTTTAGGGTTTAGGGTTTAGGGTTTAGGGTTTAGGGTTTAGGGTTTAGGGTTTAGGGTTTAGGGTTTAGGGTTTAGGGTTTAGGGTTTAAATTTAGGGTTTAGGGTTTAGGGTTTAGGGTTTAGGGTTTAAATTTAGGGTTTAGGGTTTAGGGTTTGGGGTTTAGGGTTTAGGGTTTAGGGTTTACAGTGAACCGTCTTGTTTTGAAAGCAATGCACGCATCAGCTAGCTCACGACACCAGAGCAGTGCATGGTGAATCGTTGTTGCGAGGCAGATTTGAAGCGTGCCACAGAATCAAATGCCACCGGCCCAGAAACCTTACAGGTAGCCACGGAAACATAAGTACGTTGGTTTGCTTGAGCGCGGAGCAATGTCACGCTGGTAGTCTTGATTGTGTTTTTTCTGGATCCCTAAACCCTAAACCCTAAACCCTAAACCCTAAACCCTAAACCCTAAACCCTAAACCCTAAACCCTAAACCCTAAACCCTAAACCCTAAACCCGAACCCTAAACCCTGAACCCTAAACCCTAAACCTTAAACCTGAAACCTTAAACTCTAAACTCTAAACCCTAAACCCTAAACCCTAAGCCCTAAGCCCTAAACCCTAAACCCTAAACCCTAAACCCTGAATGTGAAAGCTGAATGGTGGCACCATTCCCTGCTTCGTCATGATCTGCGGATCCTGAGGTGATCGAAGTACCCAAGGACATCTTTGAGTTCTCGCATTGTGCCGTGTGATTTCTTGTCAGAACGCGCAGCGCTTCACGGGGGTCGGTGTCGCGACCCATTTTGGCAGAGTCGAGACATAACGTGCGTGATGTGTGAGGATGTGCTGGCGCTGGTTGTGGAAGCAACACGGCTGGGTGAAGAGGTGTCCGACCGAGATTGCGATGCCTTGTGCGTTTTGTTTGTTGCGAATATGAGTGCAAATGTAGCAAAGCCACTGGAAACGTTACCTGTGCATCTGCTGCTTTACTTAGATCTTCAGCTTGCTGAAAGTACTCGGTGGAGTTGAGTTTTTGCCTCTACCATGATGACTGCAGGAACGGCGTGAGATCATGATGCATCTGCGAGAGTGCCTTGCAGAACCGCAGGCAGGACAATGGACACAGCTTTCACCGCAGCAGCATTGTAGATTGCAGCTTCTACCTGTAACTCAGCTGGCCAGGGCAAGAAGTGGCGCCGCATGTATGCCGGATTGGCAGCAAACTTGGGCTTCTTGGCTAAGCACGATGCAGCATGCCATGTTGACCTTCGCCAAGGTCCTCATCGAGGAGCTGCTGAAAAATGGCGCTCCAGAGCTTCTCCAGGAGACGTCGGAAGGTACGTGGTCTTGAGGCAATTAGGCAATTGGGTCCATGCCTCTAAAGGCTCAAGCATGCCAGGCCGATACTTTGACCTTGTCCAGCGGCTCTCGCTGCTGGAGAAATTCGAATGCACGAATGACCTGCGAGCCTGCGCCCCAGTTTGTCTTCCGACGGTTTGACCCTAAACCCTAAACCCTAAACCCTAAACCCCAAACCCCAAATTCCAGTGCTTGCGCTTGCAGTGCCCATTTTTCGGCTGTCTGCCTGAAGGTGCAGAACATGGTCCGCACCAAGGCTTCCCAGTGTTCGATTTTCTCAGTTTTGCTCCGTCCGGAGGGTCATGGGTAGTGATAAGTCGGGCTGTCAGTATGGCTACTATACTTCTATGTAAGCCCTATTTGGGGTACTAAAAACCCTTCCCATAACTACCCAAATCAACCTGCAAGTAGTCTTCTCCAGTCTCCAAGAAGGCCTCGGCGCTGCGGTCGGAGGTCATGCCGAGGAGGGAACGGGCGCTCTTGGAAAATTGGGAGTTTACGAAAAGTGAGGGACCCAAAAACAGGCCCCCGCCCCGCAAATAGTAGGAATCCCTTATATTCAGGACCCCCAATACGGTTTTCCTCATGTGCGTAAACCCCCAAGCAGTCAGCGTTGTGTTTGTGGGGCTGAAAGGCCTGAAAGAGTTGGTTGGGTGGCCCCTTTGCAGGCTGGAAACTGCCGGAGAGATGCCGCATCATAAACCGGCAGCGCCGAGCAGTGGCAGCACGAGCCTGCACCCCAAGATTCGCAACCACGCCAGTCATGAAGCACCTGCATGCTTAGGGTTTAGGAGTTAGGGTTTAGGGTTTAGGGTTTCGGGTTGTTCAGTGCAGGTGGGTCCAGGACTTGAAAAACTCGTCAGATTTCCCCACGACTCACCATCATGGTAAACCGGTCGAACGCACGAGGTAGCAGAGTGATGAGTGAACCAACAACAGCCGGTGGGTCGACGGCAACCTCTTCTAGCAGCAGTGGCTACACTGGTGGAGCCTTGCACCTCGGAAGCAACTCTAAACCCTAAACCAAACCCTAAGCTCTAAGCCCTAAACCCCCTAAACCCTAGAGCAAGATCCTTCTTTTCTGCCTTTTTAGGTACGGCAGATCTGCATCTTAGATCAGCTGAGGTACAACATGGCAAAGCCGGAGTGCTCGGAGCTGAGTTCCAGAGAAGTTTGTTAGGGTTTAGGGTTTCGGGTTTCGGGTTTCGGGTTTCGGGTTTAGGGTTTAGGGTTTAGGGTTTAGGGGTTAGGGTTCAGGTTTCAGGGTTTCGGGTTGTCTCGCACATCTCTTCGGACCATGTGATGCCCCTTCGCTGCCAGAGCAAGCAGGCCAGTTGATTTTGAACGGCGTGGTGGCAGTTGGACACAACGACGACACCGACAGCGAGAGCGCAGCTCGTGCTTAAGGGGCGTGGGTGGATGACTGAAGAAATGGCCCTTAAACCCTAAACCCTAAACCCCAAACCCTAAACCCTAAACCCTAAACCCCAAACCCTAAACCCCAAACCCCAAACCCCAAACCCCAAATCCTAAACCCTAAACCCTAAAGCTCAGGATGGTGGCGATGGCCCCAAAAAGGCGGTGGCTTTCCGGAAGGCGCAGTCACCGGCTCTTCCTACAACGAATGGCGCGGTGCTGAGAAGGGTCCAAGAAGAGCTTGATATTTGAAGCAAGCCTTCAGCCCTAAACCCTAAACCCTAAACCCTAAACCCTAAACCCTAAACCCTAAACCCTAAACCCTAAACCCTAAACCCTAAACCCTAGACCCTAAACCTTCAGCTGTGCTGAGTGAAGCCAGGTGCCAGGAATGCTTCCAGCTCCTCTGCGCCATCCAACCCCTCAAAGGGCAATGTTGACCTGCTGGACTTGTAGCTCCGATGGCCATATCTCAGGACTAGTCCCCAGCACCAGCCATGGAATAGGCTTTTTGGCATCAAGAACATGAACAGCCAGTAGAAGCCCTCCAGCAAGAGCTGAGTCTAGACTCCTGAGTGTGCCTTCACTTTTTTCGTGTCTCCGCTCGCAAAAGGGCCAATTCAATGCACCTGCAACTCGGAAGAAGTACACAACCGTACACTGGCCGGAGCGTTCCTTGAAACACCTTCGCTATGCAGGCGATGCCGGCTATGCCCCTTCCATTATCAGGCTCCTTATATCTTGACAGCTCCCGCGAGCGATCCTTTTTTTGTTTCACCGCCCTGGAACAGCGGAGGCTGGCGGTCCAATGGTTTGCGGTTTAGGGTTTAGGGTTTAGGGCTTAGGGTTCAGGGTTTAGGACCATAGAGTCGCTGTGGTGGACAGACCTGCTCCGAAGACTCCGAATGGCAGAGCAGCTGCACGTCCGTCTTAGACAAGGCTAAGGGCGGGTACAGCTGCACGACTCTGCACCCGGTCAGCTCCTGCATCTTGACGTGTGCAGTGGCTGGGCGACTTCTCGCACACAGCCTGACTTCTGGCAACGCTGGGATTCAGGACTTGAAGGGGCCGGACGATGAGGCATTGCAGGTGCTGCGCTAAGTGAGGTTGGGCATTGCTCGAAAAAGTAGGCGGTTTGAGCTTTGCCCAGCTCGGCCCGTTCAAGACTCGGGCTCGCGAGGTTGTCTTTGGGGGCAACCGTGCAACCCTAAAACTTGAGGTAAAGCGATGCGAAAGAGACAGCGTGGTTTCTGCAGAGCCATGCATTCAACGCGGCAGTGCGCACTTCGAGATGTAGCACGTCGCTGCGCGATTCCCGGATCGATGCAGCACCAAAGCGTGCTCGCAGATTGAGTATGGTTGGTTCATTGAGCAGGCAACATCATGAACCAGAAGCAAGAATACAGGTAGCCGAAGCCCGAAACCCCAAGTAGCAGAGCTTGTGAGATTTTGTATCTTTTGGGAGCACAGGGCATGGGGCCGTGCACCCTGTGCCGGGGAAACGAGCCACGAAGTGAAGATGGCAGGCTCCACCGTGCTCTACAATGGGCTTCTGGGTTTGTGGGTTTGTGGGTTTAGGGGCTTAAGGCTTGATGGCTTCATTTGGGTTGTTTGTGGGTTTATGTTTTCTTGTGGTTTTTTGCCGCATGACACGTAGCTTTTCTTGCAGGAGGCTTCAGCCGCAGAATGTTGCAAGCGGGGAAGGCTTGCTCATGCTTTGGTGACGCCTGCCAGGAGAGCCTGCTTCAGAACTGGCCATTCAGTTCCAGCTGCTTGCCGGCCTTTTCAGCACAGGAGTGGGTCGGCTTGCATCATGCGCTCAGATGTGTGATCAGGCGGTCTAGCCGGAAGCTACCTTCCTTGGTCGCTACAGTTCCTGCAAACCTTTGCTTTGGCTGCCATGTGGGCCCAAAAGGTTGCAGGAAAGACTGTCAAGGAGCATCATTGCAAACTTCTGTGGCAGGGATGGTCATCCGGCAAATGCGAGTTCCTTTGCCTTGCTTGACTAGAAGCATTAGATCACCCCATCCGATAGGATTCTGAAGTACCAGGTAGCCGTTCATGTTCAACGAAAGCTAGGAAAGAGCACTATGCGCCCCGAATTGCCTGGCACGCCGCCCATGGCTGGCTGGCAAGTGCATGCATCAGCCTCAGAAGATATAGGAGCACTAGCCTCAGCATCAGCCTCACGAGATATTGGAGCATGATTCAAAGGCAACAGAAAAGCAGACACATGCCATCGAACATATGCACGCGTAGATCATGCGCATATGTATATGTTCGTGCATCTGCATATGTATGTTTGTGTATATGTTTACTGTGCCCGGTGGATAGTTCGACCCATCAGCTTCCATGACATCAAACACAGAACATGACCCACCCTTCTCCCCGTAGACTCCTGACACAACATATGAGCCTGGTTTCGAAACGGGGTAGTTACCCCGCTAGGACAGTGACACCTCCATGAACTCCGCTACTCCGCAAGCGCCTTCCGCAGCAAAATGCTAGGTTTGAGCGCCTTCCGCAGCTCGAAACTTTTTGGCCGGCGGATGTATGCGCAAGTGTATGCCACGCATGTTAAGTACGCCAGTCTTGTACCGCATGGTGTGCATGTTGTGTGTGCTATGCTGTATGGAATGTGATGTTTCTGTATGGCATGCGTATCAGTTCTGAACTTCGTACAATTTTGTAGGCGAGGTATCTCATGCTTATGATCTTTTCAGGCATAAGTTACGCGTGCTTCGTGAGTAAGGTGTGGACAGTACCATGAAGCCTCGCTAAGGCAAGTGTAACCATCCCAGCATAGCACCTGTATTTACACCAAACCCTGAACCCTAAACCCTAAACCCTACAGTAAACCCTATGCGGCTTTGCAAGTAGGCCGTTGGTGCTCTCTCTGGCGAACCGCTGGGCACCGTAATGCTGCCGAGCGATGGAAACCTGCAGCAGCTGAGGTGTCATGACCCGACAGCAGTTGGTTCATCATTCTTGACATGCAGCATGCATGGGTTCCGTGATATACCTGAATAGGGATTATAGTACCCCCTATTGTAATCCCTATCAAGGACTGTTAGTATAAGGAGGAACATCCCACAGCCTACATCTCAACCTTTCCAGTCGCGCTTGGCTACTGCCTCAGGGGGATTCTGTCGGGGCATGTTGTATAGGCCCATGCAGGACTGCCTTTCTACGTCACCCCCACTTTACCCCCTCGTGTTTCCTGCATGGAAACTCGTGCACGAGAGAGGTTTGTGAGGATGCCACCAATTCATCCTTTCATCTTGGCCCCTAGGTACTTCTGGGTTGGGATGTTCCCCCTTTTACTAGCAGCCCTTATTTGGGATGATAGAACCCCCGAGTATAGTCCCTATTAAGGACTTGTCTCAGGGGGAACATCCCAACTTATGGGCACAGCTTTTGCATTCAGGCCGGGGCGTGTGTTACCGGGGATGGCTGTAGAATCTTCGTTAAAATGGCAGGGTAGAGCCTGCACGCGTATTATTACCGGGTAACGACCGTCCTTCCATTTGCGAGAGAAGGACCTGAATGCCTTCCACCTTTGCATGCTGCGAGGTTCTCGAAATCACGATCCCTTCAGGTACCCTAACCGCAAGGCCCCATGTTAGAATTGCCTTTCCGAAAAAGGGACCTGATCTTTTGGGAACTTGCTGCATCGGTTCCCTGCCGAGGCGACTTATCGGAACCCTACCCAGGGTGTGTGCGGCGGTGAACTCGGCCGCAGAAAGCACCCGGTGAGAGCCCCGAAGATAGAAGAGATGAATGATCATTTTGACGGCGACGGTTAAGAGCATGGTGTTTCACTTCTTTTTATTCACGAAAAAGCATTTTCCCCTGCTTCCCTGTCTGGATATGGGGAGTTCTTTAACTTAGTGTCCTTTTTGCGGGCCTTACTTACAAGGGAAAAACAGGGACCCTAATTTAGCGAGCTACCCACGTTGTGTCAGAAAGGTGAAGGTCTTTGCCGACGGCCGGGAGCTTCGGGGCCATCAAAGCCTGGCTGATTCCGGGCTGAGGCTGGCCTACGGGCCTACGTACCCTTACTCTAAACCCTAAACTCTAAATACTTAATCCCAATTCCTCCCCAACGATTTCCAAAACCCCAGCAATTTTTCCCAAATCCTAGACGTTGAGCCTTATTTCCTGGATCCAAAGTCTTGAATCCTGCGCCTGGAACGCTCACCACGGACCCCGTGCCATCGTCGAGGCCCAAAATCCTCAACTAAGGAATATACCCTCAAATTTTTATGATTTGGGGGTTCAGGGTTTAGGGTTTAGGGTTTAGGGTTTAGGGGTATATTCTTAAACCAAAGTAGGGATCCTTTTTGTGAGTTAGGGTCTAGGGATCCTTCTTAAGATCTAGGGTACATTCCGTAGTCAGGAGATTTGGGCTCTCTGGCACTTGGGTATATAGTACGCCACCTTGTGATATGGACCCCAAGAAAGGGACCCGAGTTTAGACAACACCCACCCAGGGACTCCAATACCCCATAGTGGAGAAATATTCCGAAGAATATGATAGGATTCCTTATATGGTTTAAGGAATATTCCTTAATTGTAAACGCTTGCGCGCGCCGCCTCGGCAGCCGGGCCGGCCCCAGGACAGGAAAGGAGGAAAGAGGGTTTCGCAAAAGGAAGGGCAGAGGTGGGGGGGGGGTGGGGGTGGGGGGGGTTTTTGAGGCACTCCCCCTGTAGGAGCCACCGACAGGCGGGACCCTCCACGGCATCGGTTTGCAGCTCCTCCAAGCGATTGGGGGGGGTCCCACAGGGCAGGGGGGGGGGGGGGTGGCGTCAGAAAATTTGGCATGGGGGGAAGGGTTGGGTTCGGGGGAAGGAGGCCCGATCTGGGTCTGCTTGTTCCAGACGCTTCTCGGCAGGAAGCCGAGGCGAATTTCCCTAAACCCTAAACCCTAAACCCTAAAACCTAAACCCTAAAACCTAAATCCGAAACGCGAAACCCCAAACCTAAGAGTATTGGAGTCTCTGGGTACCCACCCGTGGGCAGGGATGGCTGCGAAGTGCAAGTGATGGCCCTGCGCTCCCTGCAGCTGCTCTCAGGACTGATTGTTGGTTTGCGGGGTTTAGGGTTTAGGGTTAAGGGGGTTTAGGGTTTAGGACTCAGGGTTTTGGGTTTAGCATGTAGGGGTTGAGGGTTTGGGGCAAAGTCTTCACCTTTGAGCCTTGCAACCCGAAGCCCTCTTCCGTGTCAGTGGCACGAGAGGGTAAACCTTAAACCCTAAACACTAAACCCACGGTCGCGTCTCTGCCAGAACCTAAAACCCCAAAATCCGAAAACCCTAAACCCCCGAACATAGGGGCCCCCCAATATTTTCCCCAAATGGTGGGATTCCCTTGTCATAAGGACCCCAATAAGGTACCCCTTGTTTCGGAAACCCCCAAATGTAGCCCAAAGCCCTCTTTCCAAAGACACACGGGGAGGGAAAGCCGGACCCTGAAAGGGCAGTGCTATGCTTTGAGCCTAGTAGTTTGGTAGCCTTGTTCTGCTCTTGTTTCTATAAACGCCGAAATTAAAACTTTGGACACATCACTTTCATCATTTTTTCTATGGGAGGTACAGAAACCTTCAGCAGAAACGAAGCTCTTCACCTCCAACTACGAAGCACTCAGAGACTTTCGCCACAGTCTCCGCATAGTGTGCGGGATGGATGGCTTCTCCTGGGAAAGTGGGGCTTTACGAAACTACGGAACCGACCCCAAATTAAATAGTAGGATTACGTAGGATTCCCTTATAAGAAGGACTTGAATAAGGCACCCCACCCTAAACCCTAAACCCTAAGGCACCCCACCCTAAACCCTAAACCCTAAACCCTCAACCCTAATGTTTGAAGGCAAGGTGGGCTCGAAAAGTGCAAAAGAGAGACCTTGGAACTCTCTCGCTTGTGGTGCTTGTGGATCCAAACTCCCCCCCCCCCTCTACCAATTGGATAGGCGAGCTTAGGGTTCAGGATTCCTAGTATTTGGTGGGAATGTTGAATCTTCAGTCCACCAGCCCGACAGGATTCAACCGGTCCCGATTGGATTTAGTCTCGCGGACGTGTGTTTCATACCCATATGTCTGCAGTTGAGAAGTGGGACAGCCTTGTATGCGGAGAGTGCAAGTGACGGTTTGTTGCATGGGGGTTTACGATAATGAGGGACCCCGAATGTAGACCACCAAATAGTAGGCTCCCCGTAAAAAGGACCCCAACAAGGTACCCGAATATCGAAAACCCCACATGAGTGCGGATTGAAGCTTTGAACATCTCTAAGCCCTAATCCTTAACCTTTGTAGGCAGTTGTGAACTTAGATATTGGTGGGATTGCACAGGTGCCCACACTTCCCAACATCCCGACTAAGAGGCCCTCAACCCTGAACCCTAAACTCGAAACCCTTAACAGAGACCCTCAACCCTAAACCCTAAACTCCAAACCCTAAACCCGAAACCCCCTAAACCCGAAACCCTAAACCCCTAAAACCCCTGAAGCAACAGGAGCCCAGGACGGCGTGGTCCGGCTCTGGGAGCTGGAAGAGCGCTGTGAGGCGCGGGGGTTTGGGTTTAGGATTCAGGGTTCAGGGTTTAGGGTTTAGGGTTTAGGGTTTCGGTCTATGGATTCTGGTCCGTCCTTGGGGGTGTAAGCTCGCCAGCCAGTTCCCTCACACACCGGCTTAGAGCCAGTAAGGTTAAGGATTTCTGGGAGGACGCGTCGCGTGCCGCTTAGGACCTTGGCTGGCTGTCGTTTGGTTTATTCGGGGGAGTTACGCTCCTCTGAGAGCAGCTTGCCATGAGTGCCATGAGGTGCAGAAGTTCCAGCACACTGCAGAGCTGAACGGCATCGCATCATCCCCAGAGCCTGGCGTCTTTTCCTCCGCCTGCAGCGATCGCTCGATCTGTCTTTGGCGCTATGGCTCCGAGGCGCCGGTTGGTCAACTGCATGGCCACACAGGACAAATCTACTCGGTTGACTATTGCCCGGCCGGGTCTACATTGCTGTCAGCATCTGGGGATGCGACCGCACGCCTGTGGGACATCGCCTCTGAGCAGGAGATACTGTGTCTGCGAGGACACATGCGGGATGTGAACTCAGCCGCCGTGTCTCCGGATGGGCGCGTTTTGGCAACGGGATCTGACGATTACAGCTTCGCGCTGTGGGACCGTGCGTCTGGTAAGATCACCCAGCACTGGGATGGGCGACGGGGAGACGGCCATTCAGGCAGAGTTTATTCGGTGGCCTTCTCGCCTGATGGCTATCACCTAGCTACTGGTGCGGTTGACAAGAGGGCCAAAGTTTGGGACACTCGCACTGGAACCTGTCTCCGCTGCTACAGCGGGCACTCCGACCTTGTTAATGCAGTTGCATTCTCTCCCGACGGAAAGTTCTTGGCGTCAGCTTCGGATGACTTCACGTCGCACGTTTGGATGCTCGATGCGTTGCAGGGGTGCTTGGCTGTCTACCAACATGAATCTGAGGTGGTGTCGCTAGCTTTTTCGGGAAGTGGCCATACCCTGGCAACAGGAACCCACTGCGGCGATATCTGCCTTTGGGATTTGACCTCACACCAACAGACAGGATGCTTAGGCGTTCGCCAGGATTTGGAGAAGCCCACCAGATACGACAGGGTCACAGCCCTTTGTTTTCCACCCACATAGGCCCAGAGAGCCCAATACCCGTTGATTAGGGATTTTCTGCCTGCTATTAATCATAGCAAGGGCTCCTACATAGTTTAAGCCCTAAACCCTTCCCTCAACCCTAAACCCTTAGGTGCTCGGATGTTGGGCTGCCCAGGGCTTGTGACACAATTTTCGGCTCTTCTGGAGCTCAGTCTCTTGGAAGTTGGTGTTTAACTGCAAAGCCAGTTGCTCTGATTAAAGAAGACAAGGATAGACAAAAATAAGTGGACGTGACATTCGAATTTCAATACACAAGTTGCATAAACAAGAAGTATATTGTATATGTGTACGTGTGTATATGTAAATATACACATACGTACGTGTACATATTCTTTCTACGAGGAGCCCCTGAGAGTCGCATGGGGCCACTCGCGAGTAGCCTTCGCCCTCGCAGAGCGAGCCATCGTTCGTTGACTCATTTTCGGCTGGCGTGAGCTCAGACCTAGAGTGCTTTTTTCCAGCAAGTTCCGTTCTTTGTCTACCACTTTGTAGACTCAGACAGATTATTTTTAGGGTTTAGGAGCGCAGTTTAGGGCTGTCTGGCCGGCCTTCTAGGGTGGCCCCGTGCAGAAGCTGAAGATATCCACTTAGCCCTTGGCACACTTAAAGGGACAGCAAAGCAGCAGTAGGTGTGCATCGGCCCACTTAAGGTATGATGCGTTTCAACGGACGCGTGCAGCTGTATCTGTTTCTCGGTGCTCTTTCCAGATCTTCCAGAATGGACTAGTTAAGAAGCCGCTATTTGTAGACTTAAAACCAGAACAAGAGCCCACATGCGATTTAAGGGTCGTTCCCGAACTGACCTTGGAAGATCTGTTTGTTTGTCATGCGAAGATTTCAGGGGATATTCCTCTCAAGCTTGCCATTTGTAGTAGCTCTGCTCTCTGAGAATACTGACCTCGCTAAACATGTCGTTTCTGGATGGGTTTGTGACTGGCGTGGGACCATCAGTGGACGCCATCTACCCTTCTTATCCGACATACGCATCCCTTGGGTTGGACGGGCGAGTCACACCCTACCAGGTGCTCCCCTCACGTGTCAATCGGCTGCTTTCTGGCAGCTTGACTTTGTCAGAGTCAGCGTCCGAGAATGGCTCGGAGGACTACGGGAGCTTTGGCAGTGGAGATGTAGGTCGCTTGGAGTTGGATGGCAGCCCGTCGCCAAATGAGCCAAAGTGTGTGGCTATCATGCCTCCTCCTGGCCTGAGCCAGGACATCGGTGATGTGGCAAAGGTTTACCCAGTGCAGCTTGCCTCACTCGGTCTACCCTTCCTGGCTTCTCCAAGTGGCTTCGCCAACAAGAAGAATGCCCCCCCCCCCCCCCGGCCCGACTCCTCCCAGCACCAAGCCAGAAGCAGCGCAACTTCCAGAACTTCAACTTTGCCGTCATCTTCCACGGCTACGACCTGGAGAAGCATGGCGACTTCGAGCTTGTCCCTCGCTTAATCGGCCGCAGTGGCGACAACATGAAGAAAATCTACAGAACCGGGGTCGACGTACGCGTTCGTGGTCGCGGGAGTGGCTGGAAGGAAGTCAAGTCACCCCATGGCGACTACGAAAGTGATGAACCGCTCCAGTTGGCTGTTGCGTGCCGTTCGATGGAGATCAGGGAAGCGGTGTCCCTGGAGCTGATTGGGGAACAAGTTTTAAAGTTCTTTGGGCTTTATACAACCTTATATAACCAGTTATATGTATATATATATGATATATGTATAAAGTCTTTATGCAACCCTTGATAACCCTATAACATCACCCACAGAAACTGACTTTGCCTAGCGCCCCCTTGCAACTCCACCCAGGTTCAAGGAGACAATGGTGCTGGTGAAAGGCATCGCGCAGCACTTCAGCCGCTTCTGTCCCCAACAAAAGCTGGACTGCGTGGAGCTGTACGTGGTGCAGCAAGGCTGAGGGTTCATCTGCAACTTTTTCCAGGAGACAATGCTGGTGAAAGGCATCGCGCAGCACTTCCGCCGCTTCTGTCGCCAACAAAAGCTGGACTGCGTGGAGCTGTACGTGGTGCAGTAGAGGCTGAGGTTTCATCTGGAAACTTTGGAATTCTTTTTAGGGACCCCCAATCACTATATAATGTAGCCCTAGATGCAATGATCTAGCCCGTAGAACTTCATATTCTGAGGGCGCCCAAATCCGCCCGTAGAAGATTCAGGTTTATAGGGTCCATGTTCAACCCGAAGTGTCACAGTGTTGGGCTGTGATGCGTTTATAAGAAGGCAGTAACTATAAAGCATTACTTGCAACTAGATTGTGCTGATACATGTTGTCAGTACGTGTTACTTGTTGATACTCAGTTTCCTCATTTATGTTTATACATTTGTATTACTCCCAAGTGCAAAGTCATGTTTTTTTATCTTGTGCGTGGCTGCCCTTTTGCGACAATTGCGGCGGAATCACGCTTCCGATAGAGCCGCGAATCCACGGGGAGTCACAGTAGGTATAGGCAGTCACTCCCTGTTGGACCCAGCAGCCGGGGCCAGCTGTATCTGTTCATGCTAGCGATTGGCAACATGTAGTCGGTTTTAGCGTTGTAACTATCAGACGCTACAAGGTGTGTACCAGTCACTGGCCAACGCGCTCCGTCGCGACGATCAGGAAACCTTTTGACAGGGGTGCAGGGCAAGCGAAGCACCGATGGATCCTCTCAGAGCTTGGCAGCCCCCGATTTGTAGACGTGCAGTGTTAGGGTTTAGGTTTAGGGTATGGGGCCACTGCCCGAATACCCCCAGAAGCCCCCGAAACTTATCCTTCACCTGAAGCTGCAAGTTGCGGGTGCGTTTTCAGGTGCTAACTTGAACTGCGAGCTGCGACATCTCTGTGGCATCTTGCCTGATGTAACACGTGGGGTCTTTTGGATGAGGTTTGAAAAGCAAAACCTCCTCCAGTGTTAGCCCACGGCATGAATGGATGCAAGCGAGCAAACTGCTCGTGTTAGCCCACGGCATGAATGGATGCAAGCGCGCAGAATGAACTCGTCACCACGCAAGAAGACAAGGAAAAGAAGGACGCGAACATGCAGTTCGGTCACTGTTCGGTCTACATAGAAAAGTCGGCAAAGCTTCTTGTAAAACCTCTGCGGGATCACGTTCTCCGTGGCGTTAACTCTACCGGGTCTGTAGCTTGCCCAAACGGGAAGCTGATACCAGTGAGTCAGAATATTAATCACGAAAGCTAGCTCCTTGGAGCTCGCGAGAGTTGTCGTTTACAAGAATTCTCTCTAGTGTTCAGCTGGGTCAAGAAGCGACTCCGACCCTTAAGTGGTCTGAAAATCAAAGAGATAAAGGGCTGTGGAGGGGGGGGGGGGGCCCCCCCCCCCTATAGGATTGACAAAATCAATCTTAAGGTGCCCCCCCCCCCCCCACCCCTTTTCAGGCTTCCCCCTCCGTCTTGGTCAGGCCCTGCTGTCGAGCTGTAAGGCCCCGGTGAGCATTCGAATCCGCAGCTTCCGACAGCTCTTAGTGCGACCGCTGCGTGTCCCATCCTTTCGTTTTGCTTACAGTTCAGAGTTTGCAGCGTTGTTTTGTGATCCCCTTGGGTCTGGTGCAGATCATTGCCGCGTTTCTAGCTTTCGTGGCCCCGATCTCAAGTATTTTGGAACACCACCAACAGGACCAACTGTGAACACTTGCGCACTCCGCCTCGGCAGCTGGGCTGGCCCAACGCCGAAGAGACAGGGTCTCAGGGGGCCCCAAGGAGCTTCAGAAAATTGGGGGGTCTCAGAGGTAGTCTGGGCTTGAAAGAACGGGGGTCCCAGAAGATTTTTGGTCCTGTTCGTGCTTGTTGGAGTGGTCCCTAACCCTAAACCCTAAACCCTAAACCCTAAACCCTAAACCCTAAACCTAAACCCTGAACCCTGAACCCCCGCGCGGCATCGGACTTCGGCTCCTCCAAGCAGTTTGGGTTGGTTCCACAGATAGGGGGGGGGGTCTCCTTGTTCTAGACGCCTCTCAACCAAAAGCTGTATGATGATGATTATTATTGTTTGTTATTGTTATTGTTGGTGCTATTATTGTTGTTATTGTCATTATTGTTATTCTTGTTATTATTGTTATTATTGTTTTTCTTGGTATTCTTGTTCTTATTGTTCTTATTGTTGCTGTTATTATTATTGTTTTCATTGTTATTATTGGTATCATTGTTATTATTGTTATTAGTGTTATTATTGTTATTATTGTTTTTATTGTTTTTATTGTTATTGTTATTCTTGTTTTTATTGTTATTATTGTTATTATTGTTATTGTCATTATTGTCATTATTGTTATTATTATTATATGTTGTTATTATGGTTATTCTTGTTTTTATTGTTGTTATCATTGTTGTTGTTATTATTGTTGCCTGTGCCTTGCGGAGGAGGAAGTGACGCAGGTGGCTTGCAAAAGCTTCAGCGCTCGGCTTACACCCGCAAGAAGGTTTAAGACGCAAAGTCTAAAACCCTGCAGGTTTAGGGTCTAGGGTTTAGGGTTTAGGGCAAAAAGTCGCAAGGGTTTTAGAGCTACTCTAGGGACCTCTCCACCCCGAGGCTTCTGCCCAGTGGCTGTCGCACTCTGGCGGTCGGCGAGGGCGACTTTGCTTTCTCTGAGGCCGATGAGCTTTCGCCAAAGTCGTGGTTGGACATGGTTTGGCAGGATGCAGGGGAGAAAGAACATTTGACTTACGCCAGGCAGTTTTTGGAAACTTAACTACAATTAAAGTTCCTGAAGCCCTAAACCCTGAACCCTAAAAAAGTCTTACAGGCCCCGCTAAGAATCACCTGTCACTGCCACAAGGCATTACCAGAAGTGGAGCTACCCAAGCGCCAAAAAGGTAAACTCCCTGCTCACTTCTCGGACTGCTTTCGCACCTTGCAACAGTTGTTCAGGGTTTAGGTTTAAGGGTTTCAGGGTTTAGGGTTTAAGGGTTTCAGGGTTTAGGGTTTAAGGGTTAAGGGTTTAGGGTTTAAGGGTTTCAGGGTTTAAGGGTTTCAGGGTT